GTTCCTGGCTTTTCAGTGAAATAGAAGGAGAGGTCGCATGCTGTAGACATTGGGGGCAGAGTTGAAAAGGCTTAAGGAGAGAACAAAAGACTTCAACTGGATTCTGGGGGGATGAGGAATAAAGCTGGCAAAGGAATCCACAGAAGAATTGCTTGGAGTATTAAGGGTCAGGTGTGGCTGGAGGCCATGAATTTAGATCCACAATGAATTGTTCAGTGGTGGGACTTTTCTCTGTAGTAATCAGGGCATGGGTGTAGGAAAGATGGACAGTTGTATTCTATTTTTAGGATTCTTAATGTCTGAGGAGTTTTTTGTATATGGGCAGGACCATTAACCACCACTTGTGCTTTATTTATTGTTTAATCTATATACTTCATAAATCTACTTCAGTAAAAACTGTCTAAACATTTAAACACTATATAACCAATAAATCAAAATCTGTACATTTTACAAATCACCTTATTTAAACATTGATTACAAACTTAATCAGTCAAATCCGCTTATGTATTTCCATAGAATCACCAGTCTAATAGGTCACCTTCTCTAAAGCTTCAAACATTTTGGTAACACACACAAATCATTATAAGGATTATAAAATTTATTACACCTACACTTAACCCATTGTAAAGATGGGTTTGTAGACCCAAGAGACAAACACTACGTCAGTTCAGACTACATTTCAGATTTGGATTATCCAAAAGAAGAACATTATCTCAGTTCAAATCAGGTTTCAGATTCTCAATCAATGAATTGTTGATTGGGATCTGGGAACTGGTTCATCTTCAAAGATGATTAAAACTTGAGCCGGTGTTCATCTTGTACATCATGGGGACTTTTTAAGACCACACCTTTTGCATGCATTTTAATGTCTTGTAACCAGATGTATTTTCTCTAAATGATGTTTAATGGCCGTGATATGCAGAATGGCCCCCCAGATATATCAGTCCCCTAATCCCTGGAACCTGAGAACATGTTATGCAACATGGCAAAAAGGACCTTGCAATATAATTAAAGTTCCTTTCCCGTTGCCATCGAGTCTATTCAGACTCATAGCGACCCTATAGGACAGGGTAGAACTGCCCCATAGGGTTTTTGAGGCCGTAATCTTTTCGAAAGCAGACTGCCACATCTTTCTCCTTATTAAAGTTATGGACCTTAAAGTAGGGACATTATCCTGGAATGGAGTTCTTGGATGGTGCAAACGGTTAACATGCATGGCTGCTAAATGAAAGGTTGGAGGTCCACATCCACCCAAAGGTATCTTGGAAGAAAGGTTTGACAATCTACTTTCAAAAAGTCAACCATTGCAAACCCTATGGAACATAATTCTACTCTGACACACATGGGGTTCCATGAGTTGGAGACAACTTAATGCCATTTCTTTTTTTTTTTTATCCTGGATTATCTCAATCTAATCTTTCGCTTCTGGAGTCACAGAGATATGGCAGCAGGGTAGGTCAGAGAGATTCAAAGTGAGAGAAGAACTTGACCCACCGTTGTTAGCTTGAAGATGGAGTGGGCCAGTGACCCTAGACCTACAACCACAAAGAACTGAATTCTGCCAACAACCTGACTGAGCTTGGAAGTGGATTCTTCCCCTCCAGTAAGGAACGTAGCTCTGCCTACACCTTGCTTTTGACTTTGGGAAACCCTGAGCAGGGAATTCAGCCATACCCTGCTGGACTCTAACCTATAGAAACTGTGAGATAATAAATAGGTGTTGTTTAAGCCACTAACTTTGTGGTAATTTGTTACATAGCAATAGAAAACTAATAAATGACTTTCTTGTTGTTATTTACAAATTGATCTGGTCCATTTTCATTTTTTAAAAACTTCTATTTTGCCTACCCCAATGTTCAATATCTCCTTCTTCCTTATTACAAAACTGACTTTGAGCTGGGCATGGCTGCCTGGAATAAAGACTATTTCCTAGCCTCCTCCCTTCTTGACTTGGTATAGCCATATAACTAAATTCTAGTCAATAAGATGCAATCGGAAATATTGGGTGCACCTTTCAGAAACCTTCTTTAAAGGAAAGGAATGTGCTCTTCTTCTTGCTGGCTGTGAGGCTGATGTAAAGGTTAGAACTCAAAGAGCCATCTTGGGTCCATGAGGTGGCATGCTAAGAATGGTAGAACAGCAAGAAGGGAAACTGGTCTTTGATGCTCATCAAGACAAGCACAGTTCTTTGTGTCCATGGAATTTCCTGCTATACAGCCATACCATTGAGGGGCCCAAAGGCCCTTCTCTGGCCAGCTCCTGGCCAAGAAGCCCTGCTGTGATCTGCTGCGCTGTCCTCATCACCTGTCCCCAGAAAACACTCTGGCCCTGAGTCCGTCAGTCACCAGGAGGTGGCTTCCAGGCCTTGTGGTGCAGTGTGTGTGAGGTTTGCTCTGCGGTAGGGCCACCCCAGCCCCTGCCCTGGGCTCCTGCCCCTTCCCCCCATCCCAGAGACTTCCTTTGCCTTTCTCGGGTGCTCCCTTCCCCTTTGGAGGCTCAGGTGCTGTCTCCACCCTCAGCCCGCCTTGAATCCCTATTGCTATCTGCAGCCAGCACAGGGACACTGGGTCCCTCACTCCACACAGGAGTGTGAGCTAGTCTGCCATCCCATAACTGGACTCTTTATTTACAGTCTCTGCTATGTGAGAGAGAAATAATCTGCTATCTTGTTTAAGCCACTATTATTTGCGATTTTTACTGTTACAGTCAAACCTAATCCTAATCATTCTGCCTTATTAAAATCTCATTATAATTACTAGGGCAATATAGAGACTTCATTTCCCAGGAGATGAGCAGTTCCGTTTTGAGTGTTTGACTAACTCATCATCTTGTAAAACACACTGTTGGACTCTCTTCCTTTCTGATCATAATGTACAACCAAATTGTGCTGATCAGTCCCTTTCATTCTTTGTACAGTTCTAATTTTTTTCTGGAATTATTTGGCTTATTCACAGTTCTCTGTATCTGTTGTTGTTGTTGTGACAGAGCAGAACTGCCCCATAGGGTTTCCTAGGCTGTAATCTTTACTGGAGCTGATTGCCAGGTCTTTTCTCCCAAGGAGCAGCTGGCGGGTTTAAACTGCTGATCTTTTGGTTAGCAGTCGAGCACTTAACTATTGTGCTACCAGCGATCCTTTCTCTGTATCTATTCTTTCCTATTTATACAAATAAAGAAACATAAATGTACTTTATGACTAGACAAAATACCTACTATATTTACACTCTTCTACTTTTCAAAATTCATTTAAAAACATCATTCTTCTTTAGTTTTATTATATCATCTTTTTGCACACTTCATGGTGACATCTTCCTTTTTGAATATCATTATAGATTCAGAGATTTTAAAAATTCACTTTGTTCCAATTAACTATATTATTTTACGTTTGATGATTAAATTGTCACAACATGGCAAGTGGGAGCTTCATTAAGTTGCTTCCTTTGTCTTTTCAGCTCTACTCTATACATTTAAAAAACTATCTTTGCTTTCTGTTACCAACAACATGTTCCAGGCTAGAGTTATTTAAGGCATGGAGCTATTCTCCAAGGAACTCTAGGTCCTTTTCACGGTGAATGATATTTTAGACCAAAATCCACATGTTAAGAATGTGTACCAGATTGTCCCTGATGTTTCTAAGCTATGTTAGTGACAAAGTTTCAAAAATATTTCTTTTTAAAACCACTAATTTACACTGGCATTTCCTATTTAGCTTAACATTACTAAATCCTTTTTTATTTGACTCTAATATACAGTTTTACATTTATTTTGTTTACAACATACTTGCTTATATTCTTTAACCCCGATAAAAACTCTAACGGGGTCCCCTCTTTTTAGTGATCTTAGAAGGTCTCGAAGACCTCCATTCTCTGGTCACTTTATTGATAGCTTCATCCATGCTGGGCCAACAGGACAGTGGGTAAGAGACAGAGAGAGTTTAAAATACTAGCAGGAGAGTGGTTGGAGGGGTGGATCATGGAATGGAAGAAAGTTTAAGAAGGAGGATAAGACAACATGGATCAGGAAAAAGATGAGAGTCATGATAGAGACTGGAACAGGTACAGTGAAGGTAACTGAAGGAGGTGGCAGTCAGAGCATGGAGGGACAAAGTTCAGACTGCAGAGGTGGAGCAGTTCCAGGAGGTGGCTAAGAGAAAGGATGCTAAGTCATGGATGTGTGACCCTCCACCCTCACCTCCAGCTGCCCAAGGCAGCTCTGTACACACGCACTCAGCTCCACTCATGAACAATGCCAGAGCAAACACACACATCCCGTATCTCGGGTGGGGAGGTGAAGGCCAGAGTTCACCTGGGACCTGGCACAGAAGGATGCCTGGGCTCCCTCCCTGCCAGCTGCCCTGTGCACATGCAGAACATGTACCATATTCAGGAGGGGGGTGTATTCCCCCTTCCTGCCCCACCAGCCACAGCCTCTGGGCTGCTCTGTGGCCCTCCCCACATTACTGCTCATGGCTGAGCCTTCCGCCCTCGTCCATACAGTGATGGCTCAGCTCCTGACTGTGCCGGCGGAGATCCAGGATGCTGGCACTTCTCACAGGAAGGAGCCTGCAGGGTATGCCAAGGCTAGTCCATCTGGTCCCCTGTGGGGGCCTGCCAGGGTCACCTGTGCCACCTGTCTCCAAACAGCACTGAGCAGGAAGCTGAGTAGGGGAAGCAGGAGGAGCAGAGACAGCAAAGTAATGCAGACCACCCTTTCTGCCAAACCCTGCCCAGATCCTGGTGCTGCAGGCATGAAGAGATGCAGCGGGGTGAGGCTGGGGAGGCAGACGAGAGGGCAGGGTGAGAAGGGACCAGGCTGGGAGATGCCACAGCTCAACTCTTCTCTGCTTAGTCTTGAGTGTTTGGCACAGGGTCCCATGCAAGGAGGTGGGATACAGGCAGCCAGAAGGAGCCTCGCCTCTGACCCAAAGATGCTGTTTCTGGGTCAGGAGAGGGCAGAGGGCAGTGGCCAGGAGCTGGATTCCTGCCCTTCAAAGGCCTGGGTTCTCAGAGTGGGAAGATGAGGAAGCCAGAGAAGCTTGAGTACTTCCAGCCCCCCAGCAGGTTCCCCCGACGCAGGCGTAGGGACACTCGGTCCCCAGGGTCTAGGGGCAGCAGCACAGAGCTGGTGGCTGCCTCCCGGGTCACGTCAGGGTCGTTGGCGAAGGCTGAGATGACAGGCCATGTGTTCAGCACTAGGCTCACCTGGGGAGGGGAGCCTGGTCAGCACCCCTCCTCCAGTCCTAGGTTCCGCTTATCTCAGGACCCCCCAGCGGCTTCCTCTCTTCTCTCCAGCCCCAGTGAGGGAGTCTGTGGAATCCTGGAAACCTGGGGTGTGGCCAGTGTTTGAGCTGCACATGTCCCACACTCTGACAGGTCAGCCCTTTCCTACCTTGCTCCCTCTCCCCAGCCCCCCAGGACACAGGTCAATGGAGGGTCTGCACAGCGGACAGCCCAACTCCACTTACCCCCCACCCCCATTCCCCTCCTAAGCTGGGATGGGGCCCAGTGCTCAAGTCACCTGGACAGTCTGGCGGTTGTACACCTTTACCACATGGAAGCGGAAGCTGTAGACGCCCCGGACTGGGGCCACGAAGGAGCCTGAGGCCCGGTCAAAGCCACTGCCCTCATTCACCAGGACCTGGGGGAAGCAGACCATGCTGAGTGGGACGGGGGGGTGTCTGTGGCTTAGTGATACCACTGGGTTGGGGGAAGGGACAGTAAGGACGGAAAAGAAGGGGGGTCAAGTAGGAACAAATGGGGAATGTATGGATTCAAAAGAAACCATAGGAAGGTCAAGGAGGGTGGATGAGTGAGTGTAAGGAAGGGAAATAGTGGGGCAACTAATTGTGTTAGGGGAGATGTAGGAGGTTGTTTTCTTAAAGTTTGAGGGGCAGCAAAGTGGGCTTGGACAGTTATTCCAGATCCTGGCAGGGTCCTTCCAGGTCCCCTGGAGGGTGGGAGGGAGTTACCTGGTCAAAGTAGATGGCTCCACTGGTGCCGTTGACCATCTCTCCTGATGGCTCGTGGTGGTGGCTTCGGACTGCAGCAAATGCCACTCGTCCCGGGGGTGCCTCTCCAAGGGCGGCTCCCCCAGACCCCCCTGCAGCGGCTTGGCCGGGGTCACAGACCACCAGGCACTCGCCTTCCAGCAGCACCGTCTCCGCCACCTCATGGGCCCACCCGCCCCCCAGGGCCAGAAGTATCAGGGCCAAGGGCAGCTTGGGGCTTTGTGGGGAACCTGGTGGCCAGCTATGCTTTGCTCCCAGCATGACTGAGTGGCTCTGCGACTAACCAGTCCTGTCGTCTGTCCCCTCACTCTTGCTCCTTTCTGTCTCTTCTCCCCTCCCCCAGGCTCTCACCACCCCTCACCCTACTCCTTAGCCCTCTCTCTGGTTCTACTGTCACCTGGCCTCATCACCTCCCTCTCCATACCTCTCTGTGCCCCAAGAGTCTGTCCTGCCTCTCACTCAGTTACTCCTGCTGTCACTGCAGTTCCCTCCCCCTTGGCAGAGCATAAAATGACAGCAGCTCGGCCCTGGGAGGGAGAGGAAGGATGAAGCTGCTGGATAGAAGGGCCACAGCCAGAACCCCAGGGCAGCCCCTTCTGAAGGCAACAAAAGCTGGAACTGGGGCAATAAAGAGCATGGGTGTGTGATTGCGAGCATATGTGTGTGTGTGCATGTGTGAATATATGCGTGTGTGAAAATAGGTGTGTATGTATGTGTGAGAATGTGTGAGAATACGTGTGTGAATGTGAGTTCTGAATACGTGTGTGTGCATGTGAAAGAATGTGTGTGAATGTGTGTAAGAGTGTGTATGTGAGTGTGTGTGTGTGTGTATGTGTGTGTGTGGCCACAGTTCCATAGTCCCTTCCTCCTCCTCCTCTTCAAAATCCTTCACAAGTAACCATCCCTTCTCTGTGGCATTTTTCCCATTTTTTGGAAGAAAGGGATGCCCTTGTCTTTTCCTCACAACTGTTTTGGTGGAAAGTGCTTGGGCCAACAGTGTCACCAACTTGTGACCTTGGGCCGGTCACTTTCCCTCCTTGGTCTTCCATAATCTCATCCGAAGAGTCTGGACTAGATGAACTTTAAGGTTCTCTTCATCCCCAACTTTCGACGAGTGGTTCTTTAGCGAGAAACGACTGAGCAGAGCAAGCAAGAAGTCAGATGAGCGGGGAGAGCGGATGAAGGAGGCGTGGAGGCTGGGAGAGACAGTGAGTGGGCTGGGCCTCGCGGCAAGCCTGCCAGGGAAGGCGGAGCGAAGAGCGCTCTGCTGCAGGGTGACTCCTCCCGCCGGGCTGCGAGCCCGGGGCCGCGCAGGCTCGGCCCCTAGGAGGAGCCAGGCTGACCCCGCCCAAGGCCAGGAAGTGACTCAAAAGAACATTTTGCGATGTAGGGACGCGAGGGTCTCGTTGGGTGAGGAGTCCGGGAAGGCCCGCCCAGATTTGGGTCCCCTGCCTGCGCTTCTCCCCTGGGCGAAGCTGGGGGCCCGGGTCACAGACAGGCACCAGCCGGACGAGGTTGGAGCGGGCAGCCGCGGCGGGTAGGCACCCCTCCCCCTCCGTGGATTCGCAGGGATCTGGAGGCCGGAGTTCGAGCGCGACCGCTCCTGGGGCTGCCCGGGTGGCAGCGCGGGGGTGGCGACCTTGGGCGGAGCCCGTCGTGGTCCCTCGGTCTGGGGTGGGGCACGTGGCGTGACGCGAGGGGGCGGCAGACGGCTGGGGGAGGGGGTGGGAGTGGCTAAGACCTTGGAAATGTAGACAGGGACCCCAGAGGACAGCCCAGTTCAAGTTCCTGGTGAGGAATCATCTTTAAGGAGCTGTTTGGGACTCGGAAATCGCAGAGTCCCCCAAGGAGGGGCTCCCTCAGGACTCTTTCATTACCTGTCCACTCTTTCTGGCTTCCAGACCAAGCTGGAGTCCCCCACCCTTCCAGCTCAGGGCTGTGGCCATTATTTCCAAAACGCCAGACGCCCATCCCAGAGAGACAGACTAGTTTATCCATGACTCTCTCTCCAGAGAGAAGTCCTCTGCCCAGGTAACCTGTCTTTCCTTCCCTACCCCCATGATGGACTCAGGTGCTTGTACCCCGGGGGTTGTTTACCAGAAATAGTAACTGGGTGCAGCGCCTGTTGATAGCTGGTGTAGGCCAGGAGACCAAGATTTATTTGGGTTGACGGGACGTGAGGCTCTGAGTTCCCTTCTCACCTCCCAGGGCTGGGCGAAGTAACTATGCCTACTTGGGGGGCCGGCTCCCCGTCACCCGACCGCTTTGCGGTGTCTGCTGAGGCAGAGGACAAGGTGCGGGAGCAGCAGCCCCACGTGGAGCGCATCTTCAGCGTAGGGATGAGCGTCCTCCCGAAGGACTGTCCCGAGAACCCCCACATCTGGCTTCAGCTTGAGGGCCCCAAGGAGAACGCGAGCAGAGCCAAGGTAAACGCCCCTCCCCGGATCCTTTGGGGCGGGGGGCGGGGGGATGATGCCCTCCTTGAGGGGGTGGAGGAGTGGCTGGGGAGGAACTTGACTCCTGGGTTGTCTCACCTCAGCTTTGAAGAACTTCCCAATTCTGTATTTGCCTGGAGTTTTCGTTTCATTTCTGCCGTGAGGCGGTTCTGCCAGGACTTAGGGGCAGATGATTCAATTCAAAGCAGTTTGTGCTGCTTGGGAGGGGTAAAGATAATCTGACTGAGCAAACAGGCTCCACCAAGGAATTCCCTGTGGGGTGGGTGGTGGTTGTGTGCGGAATGGTTTTAGACTCAGTGACCACATGTGATGGAGTAGAACTGCCCCACAGGGCTTTCTTGGCTGTAATTTTTATGGACGCACATCACCAGGTCTTTCTCCCGAGGAGCCACTGAGTGGGTTCAAACCACGAAGTTTTCAGTTAGCAGCTGAGCACTTGACCCTTTGTGCCACTGAGGCTGGGCTAAATTGCTTCATTTGGAGTCAGGCAGGCTGGGGTTCCAGTATTGGCTCTGCTACCTAATAGCCTTGTGACCTGAGTCTCAGTTTCCTTATCTGTTTATAAAATGGGAATAAAAGCAGTGTCTACCTCTTTGGGTTTATTGTGAATGAGATGAAGCATATGAAGTATGAGTTCAGTACAAGTTAGCAATGATCATCTTCGTTATGGAAATATACAACACACACACACACACACACACGCACACGCACGTAAATATTTAGGGAGCTACCCTTGTAGCCAGGTGATTAAATAGCATCTTAAATTGAGTCAAGTTCTAGGTGGAAATACTAGCTACAGGCTGTCAGCTGTAAAGGGAAAGAACTGAGATTCTTTACCCCTTTTCCGTCCCCACCTTTGCTGGGAGCTCTGCACTGGCATCCTGGAGCTTAGGGGTGAGCTATGGGCCTGAAGGGATGACCGGGCCACTTAGGATTCCAGAAGTTTCCTTTTTTCTGTCTCCTTCCCCTACCCCCAAGGAGTACCTGAAGGGTCTTTGCAGCCCAGAGCTGCAGGATGAGATCCACTACCCGCCCAAACTACACTGCATCTTCCTCGGAGCCCAGGGCTTCTTCCTTGACTGCTTGGCCTGGAGCACGACAGCCTACCTGGTGCCCCAGGCACCTGGCTCGCTGATGATCAGTGGCCTGACTGAGGCCTTCGTCATGGCTCAGAGCCGCGTGGAGGAGCTGGTGGAGCGGCTGAGCTGGAACCTACTCTCAAGGCCATCCCCTGGAGCTTCTCAGTTTGCTGGTGTGCTGAGAGACTTCTCCGCCCTACTGCGGCCCTGGGGGGATGCCCACAAAGAGGCCCTGCTGCAGCTGCCTCCGGCTGTCCAGGAGGAACTGCTGAGTCTGGTGCAGGAGGCATCCAGGGGCCAGGGGCCACAAGCAAGCCTCTCCTGGGAGGGGAGGAGCCCAGGCCTGTTGGGTGCTCAGCTCCTGGCAGTCAGAGATACCCTGAGTGAAGGCAGGAAGTCCCTGGACGCTGGATCTGTGGGGCAGGGAGAGTCAAGGGGGGAGAGACAGGGTGGTCCTAGGGAGATGGATTTGGGGTGGAAGGAGCTACCTGGGGAAGAGGTCTGGGAGAAAGACATGGCCTTGGGGCCACAGTCAGGGGGAAGAGAGGTAGGGACAGCAGGGCCCCTGAAAGGGAAGGCTGTAGGGAAGGAGGGGCTGCCTCAGGAGAGAGGAGGGTTCTATGCCCAGGGTGAGTCTCCTGGTGCCCATGGCACCTCTCGGAGGGCAAGTCAGCCCCGGGGAGCCTCCCTTCTCCAGCGGCTCCACAATGGGCAAGCCTCACCTCCAAGAGTGCCTAGCCCTCCACCCGCGCCTGAACCTCCATGGCACTGTGGAGACCGGGGAGACAGGGGAGATAAGGGAGACAAGCAGCAGATCGTGACTCGAGGTCGGGGGTCTCCATGGAAACGGGGCACCCGGGGGGGCAACTTGGTGACTGGTACTCAGCGTTTCCAGGAGGCCCTACAGGACCCTTTCACCCTGTGCCTTGCCAATGTGCCTGGCCAGCCAGACCTCCGCCATATTGTCATTGACGGCAGCAACGTGGCCATGGTGTGAGTACCTGGTGGGGTGAAGAGCACGAGGGAGGGGGGGTGAGACAAGCATCTTCCCACCTTGGGGATGTGCTGAGGGACTGGCAGTCCAGCCAGGCTCTGGGCCCCCAGAGTGCTGACTCCTTCCCACTGCAGGCATGGCCTCCAGCACTACTTCTCCAGCCGGGGCGTTGCCATTGCTGTGCAGTACTTCTGGGACCGTGGCCACCGGGACATAACCGTCTTTGTGCCTCAGTGGCGCTTCAGTAAGGATGCCAAGGTCAGAGGTGAGTTGAACCTGGTCTTTTGTGTCTGGGGATAGGCCCCATTTCCATCTTGGGGATAACTGTATGTGTTCCTCTCTTTCTGTAGAGGGTCACTTCCTGCAAAAGCTGTACTCCCTCAGCCTGCTCTCCCTCACTCCCTCACGGGTCATGGATGGCAAGAGGATCTCTTCCTATGATGACAGGTACTTGCTTCTCTCCCAGACTGCACTTGATATTCAAGGGAGCCCAGTGAGAAATTGAGGGAGAAAGAGGAACTCCAGACCTTTCGTGCTATTTCCAAGTGTGGGTGACAGGGAAGGGGCTAGTTATTCCTCAGTGTGCCATTGTGACTGGGTAGGTAAACCTGCCTACAGGAGAGAATGGGTGGACTGTGAACAACTGTTGGCCCATTCACCATTCATTTTTCATTCATTAAGCAACTTAATGATCCCTCGTATTATGGTGCCTTACAGTCTAGAAAATACACAGTGGTTTAATGGAAAGATGGGAAGGGTGGTGGCATGACCAGCTGACAGATGTCTTCTTACAACCTAAATTTCTAAACACATAGAGAAATTTCCCCAACAATCTGGTAAATCTTCAAAATAACGAATAAAATGAAGAACATGATCTATGAATAGTAAGACTCTACAAAGCATAATACAAGAGAAAAATCACTGGACTTAGAATTTGAAGATCTGAAGTTGAGCCCCAAGTTGCACTCCTCACTGACTTTGACTGTGGACCACTCTCTTAGTGACTTATCTCTTTGTCTCAGGGTCCTCCTCCATTCATTCACCCTCCTTGTGAATATCAAAAGATTAGGTATATGCTTGTCTAACTCAAGGTGCTAGGCAAGAGCAGAGTGATATTACTTCTTAACTTTGCACGAACTCAAACAAATGTGGAAGGAGGGTATTATCTCTATTGTGCAGATGCGGAGACTGAGGGAAGGAGCCCTGATGGTGCAGTGGTTAAGCGCTCGGCTGCTAACTAAAAGGTTGGTGGTTTGGACCCACCAGCCGCTCCACAGGAGAAAGATGGGGCAATCTGCTTCTGCAAAGATTGCAGCCTTGGAAACCCTATGGAGCAGTTCTGCTCCGTCCTGTAGGGTCGCTATGAGTCAGAATCAACTCGATGGCAACGGGTTACTGAGGCTGTGGGTAAGAGGGATTGACTATCTTGGCAAAGGCTGTTAAGTGGCAAAGGAAAAATCAGAAGTCACACACACACACACACACACACACACACACACGGCACACACACACACGGCACACACACACACGGCACACTCCCTCCCCAGTGTGCTACATGGTGTGGGAAATGGACAGATTTTAAAATTAACCAAATAAAAAATTAAATATACTACTCAGTTTTAAATGAAAAATTAGTTTCTAAACCATAGTGATTATATATTTTGCCTTTCCAAATACTTAATTTTTATCCTTTGTCTTAGTTATCTAGTACTGCTGTTAACAGAAATACCACAAGTGGATGGCTTTCACAAACAAATTTATTCTCTCACAGTCTAGTAGGCTAGAAGTCTGAATTCAGGGTGCCAGGTCCAGGGAAAGACTTTCTCTCTCTGTCGGCTCTGGAAGAAGGTCCTTGTCATCAGTCTTCCCTTGCTCTAGGAACTTCTCAGCTCAGGGACCCTGGGTCCAAAGGACGCCCTTCCCTCCTGGTTCATTCTTGGTGGTAGGAAGTCCCCCTGTCTTTCTGCTCGCTTCTCTTTTTTAGAGCTCAAAAGAAATTGACTCAAGATATAGCCTAATCTTGTAGATTGAGTCCTGCCTCATTAACATAACTGCCTCTAATTCTGCCTCATTAACTTCATAGAAGTTAGGATCTACAACACAGGATATTCACATCAGATCACAAAATGATGGACAACCACACAATACTGGGAATCATTTTGGGGTGACACAGTACAATCCATAACTCCCCCTAAACAAGTAAATGTCTTTTTACAAAAAGGCAGTTCACTTTCTTCCAGTGCTATTCTGTTTTATGTCTAGATTCACAGATTACCCAAGTATGAAACATTCTTTCCATACCAGCAGTGAGGCAGAATTGAAAGTGAAGGTTGAGCCAGTTTTAATAAATTTTAAAGGTTTGCACAGTTGTGGACCTGGTGGGCAGACAACATAATATGAATTTGGAATTTGGCCTATTAACAGTGAATAAGCACAGCGGTGCATAGCACAGGCCTACTGTGAGGATATTGCTGAACAAGACACAACATAATATAATAACAGTAAAAGATGCCAAACCAGAAAATACTGGGCATGTACTTTTATATGTCATTCCCTCAATTTGTTTCTCAGACAGGAACTCAGAACCTAATCCTGAATCCCAGTCCCCTCTGTACCACACTCTTTCAAATACTGGCTGCCCAGATAATACTAGGTGCATGGCCTGCAGAAGAAAATGGGAACTCTGGGAACAAACCTGCTTCTTGTCTTCAAAGAATCAAAAATAAACTATAAATCAAACACCACAAGAACTCAGAGGAAAAGAAGCCCACTTCTGGCAGGGGTTGTGTGGGAAGGGAGGTATTTGTGTGCTTTCTGTTGATTAAGAATAAGATGGGAAGTTTTGGATCTCTTGGTTTCTAAAGTTATTAAAAAGACCCCACTAACCCCCTCATGAGTCCTACCCTTGCCCTGTGGAATCTGAATTACTAAAGTGAGGCCGTGGCATGGATATTTTTAAAGTTCCGCTGATGATTCTGTTCACCAGTGAGGTTTGGTAACTGCCTTCCAGATGAAGGGAACAGTTTAAGAAACATGAAAGTGAGAAAGCACAGGGCATATTTGGAAAACAGGGTGCAATCTGATCATTGATTTTGCCTGGAGTTGCGGGTTGTTGTTAGGTGCTGTCCAGTTGGTTCTGACTCAGCGACACTGCGTACAACAGAATGAAACACTGCCCGGTCCTGTGCCATCCTCACAATTGTTGCTATGCTTGAGCCCATTGTTGCAGCCACTGTGTCAGTCCATCTTGTTGAGGGTCTTCCTCTTTTTCACTGACCCTCTACTTTACCAAGCATGATG